GATGGCTTTCCGCTTCTCCAGGAGTTGTTTGTGTTCGTCAACGTTGAGCATGCCGAGTTTAATGGAGAGCCACTTTAAAGTGCCCCACCACTTCTGGAGCTTCGCCGGGGTGACCTCCAACGTGACCGCCTGGTTCATGAGGTGCCGGACGTCGCCGGCCGTCCAGGGGAGGTTCTGGAAGCCGATCTTGCGCATGCCCTCATAGGCCAAGCAGTGTGCCCGGATGGTACGGAACCGGGCATCACCAAAGAGGTGGCCAAACTCCTCCAGCTCCCTGGCCCCCATCACCTGGTGCATGTAGGGGATCTGGTGCCGGAAGGGGATGAAGTATCCCAGGAGGCGTTCCAACCACCTGGCCCTCAAGTGTTGTTCCAACGCTCTCTGAGATGTCGGCAATTGGGTTTTGATCTTCCCTGGTTTCCAATGCCGCCACTTGTTGGCCACTGCCAGGACATCCGGGGCCTCAATCGATCCGGAAAGGATCCACTCTTCGCGGTCCCGGATGGCCTGTTCCATTTCCAGTGGAGAATAGGTGTGCGATTGCCTGGCGCCTGCCGCACGAAACAGAAGTTGTTGCAGGGTCTTAGTAGCGAGCTCCAAATCCGCCTCCTCCAGCGGTTGTGGTTGGGAGCCGAGTATCCTCGCGAGGATCAAGTTGTAGGTGTCCGAGGCCACCAGGACGTGGTTGCCGTCAGGTGCCAGCCCCACGATCCGTGTCCACGGCCGCGGGTCAAAGACCACCGCATCCGGGTTGGCGACCTTGTCCTTTTTGACCCATTCCAGGCAGCACGCCACGAGGATTTCCCCGTCCGACTGCACTGGTGCAAATCCAAGGTCATGCAAAATCAACTGGAGCGCGGTTGGCGCCCCTAGGAAGGTCGTCCCAAACGGGGAAGGGAGGCGGGGCCTCCACATCATCATGATCCACTCGAGCCGGGGGCCTAGTCCCTAGGTGCAAACCCCAACCAAACAACAGGGGGCCCCCCAAAACCCCGGAAAGTCAACCCCGAAACGGAGGAAACGGGGGAAAAAGGGGGACCCAGGGAGCCGCCCCGAAAAGGGAAAACCAAACAAGAGAGGGGAACCAAGGCGCACCCCGGATCAGCCCAAGCCGCGCCAATTTTCCTCGCCTGGTGCAAGTCTGGGCCTGCGCTGTTCCCTGGGGGGGGATATCAGCGCCTTCGGCAGCTGTCCCCCCCCCGGGGTGCGCTGCGCATCCGTTCCGGATGGCCGCGGTCCTGGATGGTGTGCCGGAAGATGGCGTTGTCCCGCATCATCACGCGGCCCCCTTCGCGATGTCATCGATGCGCTTGAGCGCAGCAGCCTCCGGATTCCGCAGAATCAGCTCCCAGATGGCATTGGAGACGTGGCCTGTCTGGGTGGTCTGGCTGAATCTGAACCTGGGCACCTTCTGGTCCACGATGGAGACGTCCCGCAACGGGGCCGAGGGCTCCACCCGGCGGTAGTACTCCAGCCGCTCCTTCACCCAGCGGTTGTAGAGGCCCTCCGGCGGCTCGTCCAACACCAGCTGCAAGATGGCCTTGCCGGCCCGGATCTGGAGGAGGCGGGTGCCCCCTCCCCCGGCACGCCAGTACCCCTTACAATACTTGCACATGTAGCCCCCCCGGGTCTCCCCTTTTGTCTTCGGGATGAGTTCCCACGGGGTGACGGAGCTCAGGACCAGGCCACACTCCATGTGCGCCCAGAAGACATGCTTCATCTCCACCGGATAGTTCTTCTTCCGGTAGTCCTTACCCACCACGCCGTGGACGTTGTCCGCCGTGATGGGGGGGTAAACGATCCCCTCATCGCCCTCGCCTCCCCTGGGGCGGATGTCAGGGCCATCGGCACCTGTCCGGCACCCAGGGGCGGAGGGGTCCAGGCCCATCAGCTTGATCATGTCGTTGGTGTAGCCGAGCTTGCGGTAGATGGAGGGGGCCACTGAGTCGGGGACTGCGCCGACCCACCACTGCTTCGTGTTGCAGCGCCAGTTGACCTTCACCTCCGCCAGGGCCCCCGGGCCTCCAATGCGGTCCATGAGGGCCTTGTACACCTCTGGGAACTGCTGGAGGCTCTCCACCGGGACCGAGATGCGCTCGTCGCATACCGCCCGCAGGATCATCTGCTCCTTGGAGTCCGCCACGTCCTGGACCGGGAGCTGCATCACCTCCGCCGGGGTGTCCGTGAGGAAGGCCCGGGCCGCGAGGACCTTGCCCATGGCCCGGTAGACCAATCGCCACTCCGGTCCTGTCTGCGGAAACGGAAGGCCCTCCTCCTTCAGGAAGCACCGCGCGTCCTCCTTCAGGGTCTCCCAGCCCTCCAGGCGGGTCTGATTCTGGGCCTTGTTTTTCGGGCCCCGCTGCCTAGGGCCCTGCAGCAGTGGCAGAGACTCCCAGACTCCCCAGAGCTGGCGCAGGGTGTAGCTGTGCCCGAACATCCCCAGTAGGCCTGGGAGTGTCCAGGACGAGATCTGGCGCGTCCAGTGGAAGTCCTCATCCGGATCGTGGGGGGCAGCCCAAAAGATGGATCGCAGGTCCCCAGGGTAGGGTCGGTCCCCCGCCTTCGCCTGCTGGTGCAACTCATCAACGGAGTACCTGGCCCAGGGGAGTCCACCCACCTGGTGGTTCCTGGGATGCGTACCCTTCTCCAACGCCTCCGGATTCACCTTGGTGAGGTTTTTCGCCCAATCCGGGACGTGTACCGGGCCCGGTCGTCGGACCCAGCGGCCCGCAAAGATACGGACCTCTCCGACCCGTTTGCTCATCATCCAGCGCAGGACCGAGAGCTGCACCTCCGGGTCCTTGGTGTCCAGGCCCACCGGGGCACCTGAGCTCGTCACGCCAGAGCCCGAGGCTGGGGGGATGGTGGGCGGCCTGTCAGGGCCCTCGGCACCTGGGCGCGCCGCACCAGAGCCCCCCGCCTTTGGCATGGGGATCCCTGTCAGGTCCGGCAGATCTGACAGGAGGGCCGCCGGGAAGGGATTCCTACCCAGCGAGATGACCGCCTTGGCCTGAAGGTAGGAGTTGGTGAGGGATGTGAGGTCGTCCATACTGAAGTCCCTCCATGCCGTTGTCGGCTCGAAGACCCCAGTCTCAATGGCGACCCGGACCTCACTAGGCCACGCACTGAAGGGAGGCGCGATGGGCTCGAGCATTCTGGTTTCGAGGGAGCCCTTCGCCTGTCTGGCTTGGTGTTTCGCTTTCGCCTCCTCCGCAGTGGTCTGGGCCTGGAGGAGCTCCGGTGTGGGTCTCCCCCAGTCCGCACCCAGCTTGTCCAGCAGCTTCTCACGGAAGAGGTCCAAGTCCAGGTTCTTCAGGAGCAGGCCTCCATCACCTCCTCCGTCAATGGCCCCCCCTTGAAGTTCGTGGAGGACCGCCGCGGAGCGCTCCACCGCTTCCACCTGGTCCGCCTTCTTGGCCTCCTCCTGGGCGATGGTGGTGGCGTTGAGCCGGGTCTGAATCTTGAAGGCCTTCACCGCAGACGGGTGGAAGGCTCTGCATTCCTGGCCCTCTTCCTTGTCGCCTGGCAATGGGGGCCTCTCCCCCGGTGGGGCCGTCAGAAACTCCTCGTCCAGCTCCATGGGGCAGTTCCTGCGAGAAGCTGGCCTGGTCCGGGTTCTCGCAGGCCATCGGGTCGGTGGCCAGCTCGCTGACGTCCACCGAGGCACTGAGCTTGAGGTCGCGGGCCCGGTCCGTGTCAGGGCCTTCGGCACCCGCGGACCGGGCCGCCGTCCAGACCGCAGAGCAGGCGTCCTCGGAGGAGGATGAGAACCCCGCAGCCCCCCCGCCGGGGGGGAGCGTGTTCACCAAGGCCCTCAAGGTCTCGGAGGGCCTCTACCAGTTCAGCGACGACCAGATGGCGGGCGACTTCCCTTGCTGACCACGGCCACTAGGCTCCGCCGACTGCAGGCCAAGGACGTCCAGCGGCTCCTGCGAGGCTTTGAGGGCCCCCAACTCAAGCGGGGGGGCCTGGAGCGCGTTGTGGAGGCCTTCTACATCGCCAAGATGAAGTACGAGCATGAGGCCCGGCTCAGCACCCTGGGACAGCAGGTTGGCAAGCGCGCTGGCTTGGGGTACGGGGGCCTGGAGAACCGCCCCCTGGGCAAGGTGCCCACATCCTGGATCTGCCCCTGCTGCACCATCCTGGGTGAAGAAGGGCGCCACGAAGTGCATGGGGTGCGGCAAGAAGACGGAGCCCATTGACACGGCGACCAACTCGGCCACCCTGGAGATGGCGGGCACGCATTGGCAGTTGACTGCTCCTTGACCTTCGCCATCAGCTCCCGGCGCCTCTGCCACTTGGCGTCTGCCCGGGCATCCAGGCGGGCCTCCTCCAAGCGGGCTGCAGCCGAGGGGGACCTGGGCATCGGCAGCTCCTTCTCGCTCCTCCATGGGCACGTCCTCCTCCGGCGGGTTCAGGAGCTCCAGGAACGCGACTATGGGGGGCGTGTCAGGGCCTTCGGCACCTGCGCCACCCCAGGGGCTGCATCTTCCATCGGCTCATCCTCTGCCTTGCGCTTGGCCGGGATAAGGGGGGCCTGCTCCAGCTCATCTGCGCTGGAGAAGAAACGCTCGTCAGGTGTTTGAGGGACCTCAGCAGCCAAAACGGTCCATCCTTCTTCCTCCCTCTTCACGAGGCTCGCCAGGTACTTTGCCATGGAGGCCTTTGCCTTAGCCTTGGCCTCTGCTACCGCGGCACCAGCGTAGGCGGGGGCGTACATGGCTTTGAGAGTAGGGGAAAGAAAGATTTCAAATCACAAGACAAAAGATCAAAAGGTCCACTTGAGCCAAAATGGTGGCCCAAGTGGATACTTATTAAGAGTCAAGACAAGCGACCACCTACGGTTAACGCTTTAGCCCAACATACATCCATGTATATATCTATATATAATGGAGAGAAAGAGAGATAGAGAGAGAGAGAGAGAGAGAGAGCTAAATCAGTAAATCAATGGATAACCTCAAACAGCTCACCGCGAAACATCGCCGTGCGTTGCTCCGC